AACTTATGAGTTTTTATAAGTAAGTACAAGACGGGGCATGTTGGTAAGGCAACTTTAAGTTGAGAGATAACTGATGGTTTCAAACCAGCAGCCCTTGCCATTTTGGCCCATTCGTGGTTCAATTTTCGGTATTTACTTTTGAATTCCTCCTCAGATGATGGGCAATAAAGCGAAGCATCTTCAAGATGCTTTTTCGTTATCTCCACATCCAACTGATGAGGAATTACAACAAACTCTCCACCCTTATCACTAACGGAAAGTCTTATGGTTTTCAACCTTATCAGGTCTCGTACCTCTCGCATACCACGTTTTTGCACTGGAGTGAGGTTGGAGCTGTATCTTTTCGCGCGATAGTGATTAAGGACTTTGAGAGTTTCATTCGCAAACATCCGGAATTTAACATCAACTTCATTATTGGGCTCCTATGAAATACGCTGTCTACGAACGATCGGTTCCTTCTTTCGGTTTAAAGTGTACAATAAATGTAATTCATCACGATATCTCCTTGCTTTTGTAGTGATCAGGAATTACTCAAATCCCTACTTAAGAAGCGTAATTTCTGCAAAATCAAGTGATCAGACTATTTCCTTTAATTTATCGGATTCACTTGTACGACATATTTTACTGCTTCTTCTCCTAAGCTTGTCAAACATCACTCTGACAGTTACTACTATAAATCTGGAATTAGATAGCCGTTAAAGGATTCAACTTCAAAGACGTAGAACTTAACATGTCCGCCGAGCTCATTAATTTATTCACTAGAATATACGAGCATTGTCTTATGAGATAGTTCCAATCCATCACCGGAATCTATGCAATGAATATTTCAATCCTTTCATCAATTGAGCGCCTTTCGTATTCTGCCGGCCGCTCATTCCGCGTCGATCTGTCACGTTTCCAAAAAAGAAAGGTGGTCTCGAGACGCTCTGGTTAGGCGCCATCCAGCCGTCCAAGCCATTCCACTCATGGGAAATGTTGCATAGCGGGTACACAGCTGCGCCCCAAAAAAGAAGCGCCGCTCATGTATTCCCAAGCAACATTGTGGAAAAACAATGCCAAGGCAGCTGCCAGTTGCTTTCGTAAGAAATATTTTGGAAATTTCGACAAGGCTACTTATTATAGAGAACAAAACTCATATTTGACTTTTTGTGGCTTCGACGCCGACGTCGGATTCTCAAACTGGAAAAAGTCAGAAATAGGCAACCAAAGGTTTTAGTATGCAATTCGTAAGGGAGAAAACATAAAGTCGTGGACGAGAATCTCAAAGCAGTTGTTGCACAGATGACAAAAAAATCTATTCACATGCCATGTTTCTGAAGAAGACCGCAGGTTTGGGTTGTTGACAGTGCCCTTCCGCCCAAAAATCTTCTTTGACGTTATATTACTCATACCGGCCCTTTCAGGACTTGTGGCAAAAAGTACTACTATATTTGCATAAACGGACATTAACATAGTGATTACGCAAATATTGAAAATTGCTCTGAAATGCAAAACAAGCACGATCCAACCCACAGATCCGTAGTTTATTTAGTTGGACTAAAACACAACCAGTTTGAGCGCTGATGGTTGCTTTTGTAGTCGTGGGTTCTACGACCTCCCTTTGCAGGACTACAAAAGCTTAACACCGTGCTTACTTTTGGCTAGGATTTCAGTTTGGGAAATAACCGGTCCACTTTGAGAATTAAGCGGACGAGTTCGAGAAATATTCAGAAAAAAAGCCAGTTTAATAATATGGTTTGATAATGCGGAGCAGGTGAAGGAGACATAAGAAGAACTTGTCAAAAAGAAAAAATAGGCAGTACAACAAATATTGAAATATGAGTCAAACTCGGAATCTCAGCTGAACTTCGAACCCGTGATTACCATTTTCGGAAGCTCAACTGCTGCTCAGTTATTCACTCTCCATATTACTTAATTCCGATTTGTGTTTCCCAAATCATTAACGCTTGCGGATGATTGTTGATAGCACCGACCAAGCAAAAATGTGGCTGATAGAAAAGGAAAGCAAAGGTCTCGGTGGGTGCGGAGGATAGCACGTGAGCCGCGAAAGGGGTAATCACGGGCTCGAAGTTCATATGTGGTTCCTAGCTGTGCTCATATCTCAGCATCAACATGCGCATCTACGTTCTTCAAGAGCTGTGGCAATTTCACGAAAAGTTACAGGTTCTTAACTAATAAATACACGCTTCATAGGTCTTGAAAGAAGAAACCTAAAAGAACCCTTATCACTTCCGTAACCTGCTCGAAATTTAAAAAATTATCACTACGAAAGAAATAACGAAATACTTTGATGTCCAAAATAGCCGATCGACTTTATAAATATGCATATACTAGGAAAGGAAGGACAGCAAAGTGATCCTGGATTAGCCTACCACTTACGAATAGTTCGTATGGATACGAAGGCTGCTCTGATTATCCATCTTTTCTATTTAGTCCGTTTGTTACCTTTTGCGCTTCGAATTCGATGAACAACTTACGAACCATAAAACTATGAACGGTATAGTTGTGCACAACGTCGAATGAGGTGTGCGACGAGTCGTCAAGGAATCGCTCCAGGGATATCCAAAACGTCCGCTGTACCTCACTCACGTTTAGTTGAGGAAGAAACGGACGTCTGAAAGAGAAAGTCCTGATACTACTCTGGATCATCGATTCCCTGGCTAACAACTTAAAATTTTAAACCTTAATATTTTCGGCACCCAAGATATCATCTTCACTTATCAGTTCGATGCCCATCATCTTTAACATAGTAAAGCATAAGTGATAAAGCGTTCTGCATGATCAATCTCTGATAGATGGGCCATACATTCGACTCTATCCAACATAATGGTGGGAGTGAAAGCATGATTGGCATGTACAGCAAACTTCGTGGCCCAATCGATGTATCAAGTTAGTGTTTTCATCCTCCTGGACAAGACTGGTGCCAATTTCCCAACTCCGAAAGGATGAAAAGCTTAGTGAACCTGAGAAAGCGGGATCAAACCAGCAATTGGTCCACTGTGTACTGCAGAGTACCTCTAACCACTGCGCTAGACGCACTTTCACTTTAACCTCATAATGGTCTTAATTGTTCAATGAAGTTTATGAGATTCGCCGGAAAAAGTCAAATTCTGGACAATAATAACTACAGGATAAAACACCGCTGATTGGTTTCAAAATTGGTGAGATAAAATATTACACAACCTACGTTGCCTACACTCGATAGAATAAGAAAGAGTTCTGTGAAACACCTCCTAGTGCTTGTTTCTGATTTTCTGACTTCCATACTAACACCATATACGACCAGCGTCAGCCATCTGTTCCGGTTCACTCCTGTCGTACTTACAATAATATCGTTTGATGGTTCCTCTCTGCACGCCGTCAGATGAATGCACGTTATCGAGCTTTTGAGACATATATGCTTCAAATTCAGCAGAGTAAACTCACCGTAGTAGTGTAACTGATGGATGTATTAGTATTCCGGAGCGAGTTAAAAACGACGGTAGACTCCCCAGCAACACGAAGTCTTCCGGCTTTAGGCCCACTTCCTGGAACTGTATGGTTATCAGACAAAGGAATCTTCTTAATTAGCTCCTTGCCGAACCTGTTGCAAAGCCTTAATTATAAATTTGGGCGGCTCGTCGACCATTCATATGCTAAAGAAACTGAATGAATGTTCGTCGTTTTCTTTCTCAGCAATTGCGAGGTTGTTAAATAGCATATGTTTATTTCAATAAAATAACACACATACAACACAACCGTAGCTGACGTTTCGGCAGAATCGCCTTCTTCAGAGCCGCTGAATGAATGATTTCAAGAACTCGGCTAGTAGAAAGAGCGTTAAACTCTTCACGAAATATGCTCGAGAACGTTACCTACACAGGCTTTTCATACGGACTTCTGCAATTTCATAACTATTTAAAAAATTATTCTCATTGAATAATACGCCTTACAACTTATGTGTTGTTCGGACCACTTCTTGTAACGTCGCTCTGATATAATTCTTTTGGCTAAAGAAAGATTTAGATAGAAGTAACCCTTAACCACATAAGGGTTAAAAGAAATCGCGAATTCGTAGCGCTAAACGTTCACTGCTAACAAGAAACCGGAGAGTACAACTTATCGTAATGTCACCTTTGAAAAGGGATCCTTCCGAGGAAGCTTCGAGACTTCACTTCTGAATTAAATTGAACGAAAATGAAGAAAATGACTTAAAATCCTATGCAACATTATAAAGCAGAGTTTCTTCAGTCCTCGTTGCAACTAGAAGACTTCAGATGCAACATTTTTCCACTAACTTCAGAATTCATTTATATACAAAGTTTCAGAAAATATGTACATTCAGATATTTGCCGTTTCTACGTTTTGATGCTAAGTGTTCACTACTGTCAACTGATATTTGAAGCAGCGATGAGCAACTGTCATAGTCACGCATGTCACCCAAGGACGGCATCTGCCACTCTCATAATTGTTACATGTGGGCGGCCACGGAAGAACCATCTGGGGACGAGCGTGACACCTGGCGCTCCTCCCATCACTGTTCTATGTTACGATCAGAACTGCCCGCCATTCTTCAGACAGAATCCCTTGCCAGCCACTCACAAACACCCATCACCGAACAGCGCCTGCACATATGGCTCCTTTGTATTCGCACTAGTTATTTATCTGAAACCTTCCAACGCGTGAGTTCCAAACTTGACCGTAGTTGAACAAAAAATTAAACTTTATTTAACGGTGCTTTCCCAGATTTTTCCAGCTCTTCGTTCTACTGCTGATAAGTTAATACCAAATAGGTAGAATTTGCTTCGTATAGGAGAATTCAGATGAAGACAATCCATAAGCTTTCATTATGTCTCTCTAGTGAACCATTTCAATAATAAGTACTGTACCAAATATGCCTACAACCACATAACGTTTAAGATTTATTATCTTCGGCTTGGTGCGAGGTAAAAATGAAAGTCAAATTAAATCTGGAATCGCTGTGATGTTAGACATCAACGAGCTTCTGATGTAGCTACATATTCGAAACGAGAGGGGGTCATTGAATAGTACAAGTCAGCGTTGCATTCTTTACTCTCTGCTAGCACTCTCCATCGAACGTGTAGGTATAAAGCAGTTGTGTGGTTTCATTGCGAATTACACCAGGGCTTTCATGAGCAATGTTGTTTTCGTTTATTCCAGTAGTATTGACGTTCCGGCGAGACATATCAAGTGGCAACCTGAACCACTATACATTTCTCCGACACTACATTCGCCAGAGAAATTCCATCCTTGGGATCTAGTGAAAAGGTTACTTCCAAGTTTTAGTGGATATGATTTCTGAATAAGCAGTACTCTCTTAGTTCGACGAAATTCTAATTTTCCGCAGACAGAATGCGGCCCAGCTCCACTAGGAATGTATTCGTCACCAGACTGCGTGAAAAAGAGCGCCTCAGCTTCTCCGTTATTCAGTGGGTTAAAATGGTCATATATAACTTGTGGCAGTCCCCAAAACTTCCACACAAGGATGAACTGAGAAGCCCAACTGTGGGCCCATTTCGGAGGCTCAACGCCAAATCCCGTTGTTCCTGCGACCAAACATATCGTAAGAGTCGATGAGCTTGTGTAAAGATCCCTTTTCGTGGCCTGAGTGGAAATACTTCGCAAGCTGTGCACGGTGCGTATGGATGTCAAAGTAGACAGGATTTATTGCTCAACTCATAATTCACTCGAACAACGCTGCGCACAAAGACCACGCAGCATTCTCCCATGGTCATTTGCTTTCCTCCGTCCGCTCGATGCCGGTCGCTCTAATCACGTCGATCCTTCATCCGACGACCGTCGTCAACTTGTCTCAAAATCGTTCCACCTTCAATTTTGCCATTCAAAACTCGAACTTCAACGCTGTTTAAATTTGTAGTCATTGCAGATCAATTAATCCTTTAACGCAAAAACGTTTGGTTATCATCGAAGCAACACCGAGAGTTCCTTAGAGAATCGTCCACTAGTTATGAATCATTATAAAATCCAGCATCAGAAAAACTCCGAACAGTTCTTGACCGCAATTTTCTAGCCATTAAATTTTTTTTGGATACAAAAGGTTATAGTCCAAGGGCAAACCACCCACTCGATTTATTTCCTGTCACTCATCCAGATATTACCCTACATAGAAAATGCAAAGAATTTCTACAATACTGGACACATCTAAGTACATCTTCAGCGCCTTACAGAACAAATGAACAAACCCTGGACATCTAAAGACCATTGTTGCAGTCCTGCGACCCTGAACAGAACTGCTTCAAATAGTTCTTTACATTCTTGTTGAGCGAACATGAGGTGTTACTTTGTTCTTTATTCCGCTAAAGCTGACGTTTTGCTTCATTTCTGCCAGTTGTCAGTTTTCTCACTGTTACAAAGCTGCATATGTTAACGCATTCCATTTTGAAAGCCCAGCGACTAAAACATCTCCTTACTTAACACTAACCAAATTTCAAGTATTTCAACAGTACATGCTTTCTCAATTGACACAGCATAACTCAAAGTGTCGTATTTCAATGCTAACTTGATATGTAGTGCTTATCATAATTTATTAACCCCGGAAAGGGTAATAGCGCGTTCATTCCCCACCGCAGACACCTTCAGTCCGGAGTTTTGCAAATATCTCGGAATCACTGTGGTTGTATCACATATAATACCCTGCCGTAAAAAATTGTAAGCGTTAGCTCCTGGAAAGGGTAATAGCGGGTTCGTTCCCCACCGCAGATACCTGTGATCCAGAGTTTTCCAAATATCTCAGCATCATTGTGGTTGTCGTATTTCATTTTTTATTGCCCCAATCCGGCTACATTGAACTGGATTCGCATCACTAAGAACGCTGAGCTCCACACAACCCCTTTCCACAGCACGTCGTCGGCTCTCTTAATTGCCAAACCGGAAGCCGACTCCATTCGATTAGTGCTAACGAGCTGGCTCGAACTGCTTCCTTAATCACCTCCCATCTCAGCACCATAAAAATCAAAATAAACCCATGACCGACTTTCTGTTAACCTCGGCATTAATTGATAATTCAATGTTTTTCATCAATAAGCAGACACGAGGTTGTTAATATAGAATTTATTAGAACACAATTGCTGACGTTTCGGCGGTTTCGCCTTCTTCAGAGCCTGGAAAGGTCAAATTGAGATGCGATCTACTCAGCCAAACACTTTCATAACCCTAGCAGATAAAACTTGATAAATCGATTTGTATTCGCATAAGAAACAGCTTCATTCAAACACCTACCGTTTATTTGTTGTAAGTATTTAAGTTAGTTGGTGGATAGCCGCCGCACAGAGTAATACATGGTCGATAACTGGATCCATGTCAGATCATTGGATCAGCCTGAGGTATGGCGCTAGGTCACGCGTGATGACAAGACACTCCTCCTTGCGGTTCATTTTTGAATTTTTGGCATTGATCCAAAACGCTTCAAGAGTTTTTCGCGCTGATGTTTTCGATTCCTGCGTAAGGATAGTGACTCCTACCTCAAAATCTTCTCCGTTGTGTTCTTGCATCCTATGCGCGCCTAGTGGAGTATTGTGTTTTAGTTTAGATTTACCGACTAGGTGTTCTTTTATGCGGACGCAGAGCGGTCTACCCGTTTCGCCAACATATTCGTGCCCGCACGCTTTACAAGAGATCAGATAGACTGTACCCGAACTCATGCAATCACCGTCTCTACCATTTGGGCAAATTATGCAGTTTTTTGTTGTACATAGACGGTCGTACAGGCGGTTGCGAACTAGCTGGCGTCTTAGAGTGTCCGGTGGTATTTCTATCACTCTTACGGAATTCTCTAGACCGGCCCTTATTAAGCAGCGTTTTATAGCTGCACTTATTTCGTTTGAAATAAAGGGCAACAGAAACGGAGCCTTGTTTTCACTAGAATTATCGCTTTGGGGCGTGGGATTTCCTCGATGCCTATCCTGAGAAGCTACAGTTTCGTAACCATTTGAGATGGCTATTTGTCGCGCCACTTTCGAGGATTCTTCCCTNTTTTGAATTTTTGGCATTGATCCAAAACGCTTCAAGAGTTTTTCGCGCTGATGTTTTCGATTCCTGCGTAAGGATAGTGACTCCTACCTCAAAATCTTCTCCGTTGTGTTCTTGCATCCTATGCGCGCCTAGTGGAGTATTGTGTTTTAGTTTAGATTTACCGACTAGGTGTTCTTTTATGCGGACGCAGAGCGGTCTACCCGTTTCGCCAACATATTCGTGCCCGCACGCTTTACAAGAGATCAGATAGACTGTACCCGAACTCATGCAATCACCGTCTCTACCATTTGGGCAAATTATGCAGTTTTTTGTTGTACATAGACGGTCGTACAGGCGGTTGCGAACTAGCTGGCGTCTTAGAGTGTCCGGTGGTATTTCTATCACTCTTACGGAATTCTCTAGACCGGCCCTTATTAAGCAGCGTTTTATAGCTGCACTTATTTCGTTTGAAATAAAGGGCAACAGAAACGGAGCCTTGTTTTCACTAGAATTATCGCTTTGGGGCGTGGGATTTCCTCGATGCCTATCCTGAGAAGCTACAGTTTCGTAACCATTTGAGATGGCTATTTGTCGCGCCACTTTCGAGGATTCTTCCCTCTGCTCTACCTGTGCACACGCTAGCGGCGGTTCGAAACATATTTCTTATAAGCGCTCTTTTAGTGTGTGAGGGGTGAGAGGAGCGGTAGTGAACCACTATATTCTTACTGCTCGGCTTTCGATACCATTTTGTGGTGTAGCCGTTCTCGGATAGGTTAATTTGAAGGTTTAGAAATGGAAGCCAGTTTTCTTTCGGTTTCTCACGGGTGAATTTTATGTACTCTGACTGTTCATTCAAAATAAACCTTTATCTCGGAAAACTTAGATGATTCATGTGAAGAATGTGCTCCCTCGTTTATGAAAACGATCATCATAGACCGAAAGAAAGAATTTCTGAAAATTTGGACCCATTTCCCTGATAATCACATAAGCTGTTAATTTGTGCTCGAATTCGACCGAATAGAAAGTGACTAAGATTTTTACGACCTTTTCGATCATTAGTGAAAATATTCCCATTTTTTTCACTCACTTAAGCCGTCTGTTGTTCTCACGGTAATACTGAACCTGCGATGGTAAAGGAGTGCCTAATTTCTTACATAGGATTGCATCCTCTCGAGAGGACTCCTTTCCACTGTCAAAATACAGTAAGCAATCAATGGCAAAATTTTCATTTTTGTGGCGCTACACGTTCAGGAACACATTAGGAACAAGGAAAAGCAGGGTTTGTCTCCTGAAAACCCATAGCTATATTATTTTATCTTGACGGAGAACCTCGGACTGTATTATTGTGGAGCTTCTGTGCGATTGGAGACAGAGCAACGGTCTTTTCCTTGTGGACAGAGCCGAATGCGAATCATACATTTCTTATTGGCTAATCGTACCATGTGTTTTCGTTTCCCTCCGATGAATGCCGTCTACCATTCGGTCGTACCCCAGGCGATGCCGTGACTCATTGCCGTCGGCTATACGAAGAGGATACGGCTAATACACTTGCCGTTCCTCCAATTCTCCGTCGATATCTGCTCCACTCTTCAATTGGATCGCAGCGCCTGCGTGGTTCGAGACACTGCAGACGAGTTGTCCCATTGGTGACCTCATCATTTCTATCTGGAATACTGACATCACTGCCGCAAAGACACATGCAGTTCTACCCTCCTTAGATCAAGTGCAACAGCAAATCTTCCCACGGATCTCCGAAAGGCGGCGTAGTTCTGTTATTAAAACCATGCCCGAAATTAAATTTATCTCTATAACTTCTAGACTTCATGAAACGTCCATGTATCACTTCATCCCAATCAAAACACTTCTTATATTTTCTTTTCCTCTTTGTGTCTGCGCTGCCATATTTCCACTTTCCTCCCTCAAACTTCCGGTGGTAGTCAATCACGCAGTTGTTTCTCCGTCGGAGTAGTTAGAACAAGTTTACTTATTTCTGATTGAGTATCCATCTTTAACTCTCCAAATATCTCCGAATTTTACTACTTCTACGTTTTCTTCTGCCTTTCTCCTCTCATATTATTTTTTTAAAGAAATGTCCCGTTAATGGGCAAGGTTTAAAAACCTAGATACAATCTTTACATAAAGTACAAATCCATGAACACAATAAGTTACCTCCTCCGCTTCTCTGATGGCAGTCTCCTGCATATTCTCGCTGTTCTCCCGCATTCCGCCTGGGAAGCACACTTCACCTGGGTGTCTCCTCAGTTCTTGCGATCGTACACATAAGAACACAGAGTAGTCATTCGGAGTTCCGTCAAGGAGAATCAGAACTCCTGCATCCTGTGAACAATGATATAAGGGGAGCCCTTTTTAACAGAATGGACGACTAATACAACTGACCTAGTACTTTTAGTTGATATTTCTCCACTCGTATGCACTGAGTGCCAATTGTCTCATCATATCATCAACTACCACTAGAAGCCTACATTGTTCAAGTCCGTACCTTACCACTATCACTTAATCGGGTACATTTTGTGCAAAACCCAGAACTCCCTTAACCTTCTTCATCAATATGGATTTGGTTGCTCGTCAACCACTCATTCAATAGAAAACGTTGTAAGCACCTTTCTGCCGTCTGGCATAGTGGGTTCAAAGGAGAGCCGTAGAAGACTTCGAAGGCGGTCACACTCCTGCTCACCCATCTAGAGTTTGTCTGAAAAATGAATTCTTGACTACGGCTTTTTTTGGGAGCGATATATATATATATATTTATATGGATATCACAGGTGAAACAGACAATAAATCCCTATCGAGAGATGGCAATGGTAATGGAGAAGACCTTCGCTGAGTCTCCGATTGCACAGATGATCCACTCAGATAGTCGCTATCAAGGCGTGCAATGCGTAGAAATATGTATGAGCTGACGAGGCAACAGATTTACAGAAGTATTAAAAATTCTAAGCTTCTCTATGTTCGAGTACAACTGCAGGTATAACGAGTGCCTCTTTTAGTAGGTTTTCAACGTTTTAGAAAATCTCCTTTGCCTTCTTCCCATAGCACCTTATCTATGGTAATAATGTAGTAATGTGCTTCCACCCGCCCCTTCCAGAGCACTCTTCTGCAAGTTTGATGTTTAGGAAAATGGTTGCATTCGAGGAATCACCTATGCGGAAATTCGAAAATTTAATGGGAGTTCATTAAAGATTAACGTTCAGTAAAAAAAGAAAGCTCTCGGCGTTGATCAATCCTTGAGGAATGCATTCGATTTCATTAAGCATCGTTTGGAGGTGATTGAATTCATATCTGTCCTTTACAATAACTCGCGGTGGCCTACCAATGTATCGAGCCAGTGCTGCTATCCTCCCAGACAAGACTGGTACCAATTTGCCGGCCCCAGATGGATGGAAGGCTTGGTGAGACACGAGCACGAGGATCGATCCCATGTGTGCAGGAAGCCTCCAACCACTGCGCCACCACACGCGCCCTTTCAAAGTTCGATAGACATAAAATTGACGTGCATATGCTATACTAATGGCCTTAAAAAGCAGAAATATTCTACGGGAACTTTGATTCCGAAGCAAATGTTTATATTTTCTGCAGTCATTTCTATAGGCCCCCTCTACAATATTCACCCCCACCTACAATTTTTTACTTCGACTATTTATGCTTTTCTGAATAGTTACTACTTCAACTTAAAGAAGGTCTATTAATTTTAAGAACTGTGTTCCAAATTTACCAGATATTACACATTATTAAGCCTAAAATAGTCCATTTCCACGGAATGTTCTATCAAATGGCAAGCCAGAATTCTTGAGATCTTTCCAGTGACCTCGTTGTTCCTTGAATTCATTTCAGACTAGATAACCATCTCTCTACGATCACAATGGCGCGCTGTGTGCAGCCTTCTTCTCGGTTTTTTCTTCCCTTACCATTTATCAACCATCGTTCATCTTGCCTTTTTTGTGGATCTCTGACTGACAGTGGCTAATATAACTGAAACTCTGTTCTGCAGAAACATTCTGCCATCCATGAAACACAGTAAGACCTGCTGTTGCCCCGTCCATTATCGTCTTTCTCGAGCGGGCGCCAGTAAACGTTCCATTTCTCCCTGTCACGTGGAATAACGTTCCATTTCTCCCGTGGTCCAATGGGTCCGGCTCGCTCCAGTAACTCGCTGAGCATGTCTTCCTTCCAGGCCTCTCATGAAGAACTCTGACCATCGGGTCAGTGGTCTTCCTGCTGTGCGTTTGACATCCTTAGGAATCCAGTCGCTAACAGCTCCTGTTTATCGATTGCTGTGCAGAAACATTACGTTTCCGAGCCACCCTATCGTCGACAGTTTGGCGTGTAGAGCGACGTCCATGATTTCTGATCGAGAACATAGGTCGTAGCTTCAGATCTCATCTCTTACTGACGTGATACGGGATGCTCCTAGCATTGCCGGTTCGACAGCGCATTCCATAACGTTGAGTAATCTTAAATCCTGCTTGCGTAGCGCCAGGTTTCTAACCCACCCTTCAAAGCAAGAACAATCGTGGAGTCGAAAAGGTGCGCACAGAGTTAGGTGTTCTTTGTTTTATTCACCCTGTTGCTCTTAATCCTTCATCCTCATTGCTCTTAAAAGCCCCAAGCCTCCCCAAGCCGTTCGCTTCTTCCTACAGAATTCTGCAGCTGTGTCATTAATCTGTTGATTTCACGACCTAGACAGACGTAAAAGGAGTGTTCGGAGATATTGATTCCGTTGAGCGTCACTGGAACATACGGAACCAATTAGTTCCTCATCAACATCGTTTTTGTGAGATTTGGTTGAAGACCAATCATTTCACACACATTATCAAATTCGGCAAATACTCGTTCCGCCAGGCTGATGCTTGGTGTTGTAAGAACAATGTCATCAACAAGGCGAAGATGGTGTAATTGCCCACCATCGATTTTCACTCCCATGCTGTCCTATTCCAATGTTCGCACAATATGACAGGAAATAATTTTGGCAAGATGGTATCTCCTTACCCAACCCCACTTTTTACACCGATGTTAATATTATTGTAGAATATGGTTGTAAATTTTGATGTATTTCACTAAGAATCTTTATATTACTGAGTAGGGGCACCCTGACTCTCCAGGGCTTACATGATGGCTTCTTTTTTAAGCGAGTCGAAAACTATCTCTAAGTAGGTGAATGTGAGGTAAAGCGATTCCTTGTACTGTTATGATACTTGTAACCTTTAGGCCTTGGAGTGCAATCATCGTGGTCCTGTAATTGGTCAAATTCCGATGGGCTTTGCGAATGCTCTTCCCAGACTGCAGCTTCGGGCATAACTGCTGTTCATCACGGAGCACAGTATTGCAAGGAAAGGCCCAGTGTTTTTGAGGGAATTCGATTTAATTGCCATGAAGTGATCTCGCTAAAACACAAGCCACATTGGTAAAAAGTTTTTGTAACTCATCGAAAACACAATGGCAGCCATGAAAGAGATTGAAACAGATCTCTGATGAAGCAATCATTTCATAAGGAGGACGTAGTTTCCCACTGGTACTGGTTGTCGGTATTCAGTAGGCAGCTCGGAACAGTTCTGTTCGAATCTCGTCACAAGTTTCTGGGAACATAACTTGGCACACTTGGTAAGGGAATCGATTTATCGCTCGCAGATCCCTTCGATGCAGGTGAAGATTTCTTCGCAAAATCGGTAGCAGTCATATAACAGTTGTTTTTCACTGGCTTCAAATCCAGCTGAACGTTCGGCTCCACTAAGACTTTGTCCTTTGCAAACCTATTATTGTTCCTTTTTATTGATTCGGGCATTGAGCAAGAGACCAAACGATTGTTCAGTTTCATAAACACGAGCTTCTACCACTCTGCTTAGCTTTGCATTCTTTCACTTCTCCATCCAGTTGCACCGCTCTGTATCATCAAATCCATGACATGGGATGATCTATGACGTATGCTGTCATGACGACGACCCCCTTAGAGTTCTTTGCTATAAAATAGTCGTGAGTAAACAGTAGTGGAAGTCGTGTAAGTGTCTGGGACTCCACTTCTTCACTCAAGTGCAATATTCTGTCTAGCGATCGAACACACCAAAATCCTTGGTGGTAACTAAATGGCTGTGCTCCATCGATTCTCAGTCATACTCCGCATAAAGTCATGATTCGATAAGTGAAAAATGTTCACTCATTTATTCATTCTGTTTGTCTAAAGATCCTACCCTTTATCCTTTATTCGTCTAAAGGGTACCAACGTCCCTGAAAAATCCTCCGTTTCGTCTTCTCTGTAGAATTCACGTTGTTATGGATAGTGTAATCAGTGCACGTGGGTAATAACGATAAATGAAAAATGTGTTTTCGGCAAACAACGTGTCATCAAGAACTCAGTGGAGGGTTGGAAACGCCTACAAAACGTGATTTTTGGCTCACTTTGATGCATATCCCTAACAGAAAAACCTTATTTTTCAGCCGGGCAGAACAGGAAGTGGGTCAAGTACTAAGTGCCCTTCTTTTAGTGAATATGCGAAAGTTTTGGTCAAAAGAACGCTCGTTTAAGAAAAACGCTACCGTCTGCATTTTGAGTCATTCAAGTTTTCCGTTTTTCACGCCTGGTTACCAGTTAGTTCTTGAGCCCAGCGCAAACTCCCTCTTGTTTATCCAGACCCACTCTGCAATCTCCATAAACTCTACTCTACTAGTGTGTCTTTGACAGGATCGTTTGTTTGTAATAGCTCATTTGCACACCTGTTCCAACCAACCACATCTACCAAAAGCCAGACGACCGAGAGTGCATCAAAATATCATTCCTCTATTTCACTAAGCCAATACCAGCTTTGGAGGAGGTCTGCAAGAACGAGCACCATATTGGGGCTTTTCATTTGCTAATAAACTTCCTCTACAAATACCACGCAATATTATTCGCTTTGTTTCTCTTTCACATTATTATTGCCACAGAAAATGTATGTGCGTCTAATCCCCTCATTCTTCTTTGGAACTATCGCGTTCCTAGGCCTCATAGTCACCAATTACGTATACCGCCGGTAGTTTTTTTGTTCTTATTTTTATTTCGTTTTGTATGACCCGTCTTCACGTGTACTGTGTGGATCCGAGCACTTCTCACATTCGATTCGTTTCCTGGCATCCATTGCCCACGACCCAACTTTAACATGTAGCTTCGGTTGCCGCTTGAGGATTTCAATTTTATTTTGAATGGTAAAGTGCTGGTCGAGCAATCCTCCTTGGAGTCCTGAGATAGCCGGGCTGGAGCGTTCCCAATTGGATTGCAGAGAGTGATTTTTTTCCCAGACAGGTATGCTACCAATTTCCCGACCCCAGAGGGATAAGAAGCTTAGTTGGTCTGGAGCGGAATCGAACTAGCACCAAGTTCCAGATGACGGACATCACTACCACTACGCTATCCGTCCCTGATAGTTTTTTTCCTACCACCTCATTATTCTTGTTCGAGAATTCAAGACCGGTCGCGTCATCCAAGGTCATTCAGTTTTCATACGACAGCATAAAAAAGTTGACTGCAGACCAATTATCTTAAAATCTTCTGGATTCTCTAAAAACATAGCCACCAAATCTTGCCTATCTCTTGACAATTTAGCTACGTTCGATGGAATCAGTTACATCGACTTCACTGAGAACTAAAATCTGTTTCGGTCCAACAAGTAACACTTTAGGACTTTAGGAGTAGGAAGGTCACAGGTGCAAAATGCTATTAAGGTAGGCATTCTTGATAGGACCAATCCAGTTACAAAATTTAGTATAGAATGTGCAAACAATCATAGTGACTATCATCTAATGAGAAGAACACAGGAAACAATTCGTGTTGGAATATTGCTAAAGGCAGTTTTTAAGATGAGTGTTTCGTTTCACTTCTCGACTTCGCATTTTATTCAGTCCCCTAACTTAACTCCTCAAAATTTGTATTTCTGCAGTTGAAGGAGCTCATTGCGTTCCTTTGCTGCACTTCAAATGATTCAGATTTTTATCATAGTCCGTTGCCTTCCTTCTGTTCGATGAGACCGGAGCGTGGGTTACTGGCACATCTGATTCCTTGCGGACGCGCTCGATCCTAAATTCGTACCACATGTGAGATGACACTGATTATATATGCAAATGTGCGCCGAGGAGGCTAATTGACGTGCACATTCATGTGGAAGCCCTGAGGAAGCTCCCAGTTGCGGACTAAGCCTCTTCTGGAGTGGTATGGAAATTCCTGATGAGGCGTGGCGATTGCGCAAGACGAGGCTCGGGTAGTCGTCGTCGCTGGTGGCCCGCCAGCCAATTGGCCCCTGACCATCGATTCTGTGCCGATCATCGCTCGCCCTCCACGGTTGCCCTCAAACAGACCGCACACTCCCCGCACTCGTCCCGACACCTGTTCACTTGGTCCAGCCCCGAAAACTTGTTTTCTAGCGCTATTAATACGATTTGGCCCACTACTTCGTTATACAATAGCGCGGTAGGTATCAGAACATTGTAGGTTTACGACTGTTAGGGCACATTAGTCGGCAACTGCACTCATCACTTCCATAAAGATTAACGAACTGTTAAGTTCAAATTGAATAAACCAGAACGGGTTTTCACATCGTTCGATGATCAGTTGTCCATCCAGTTCACTTTCTTGAACTGTGCACAAAAATCACTGTCATAAAATAACTAGCTGTCTTAAGAAATAACTTCAGCAGACAACGATGAATAGGAAATATTTTTTATCCATTCATCACCGTGAAAGTAGAAAATTTTTTCTCGTTTTATAAGTGTTGTAGATTTCTACGTGCTGTTTGTCTGGTAACAAGTAGATCTTTCCTCGTGTCAGCGACAAACAAACTACCGTATTATGTCGCTTTTTTCCTGTTAACAAACGTAGAGATTTGGCTCTCTACCCTCTAGCTGTTCCTTTTTTGTGATGGCCGTTTGCCACAGATCTCCTACCATTGACGAAATTCGATCGCACCTCACGCGTTTTGCATTTCAAAGCATCCATCTTCTACCAAAGTGCTTTACTCATCCATGAACGGTTCCACTGTATGTCGAGTTCATTTGTCTTCTACACTCAGATTCCGTGTGGAATTTTTCTAATGCATGTATCATCAATGAAAGAAAACTTCTCTGGCGCGATCTATTCATTGTTTTCCATCCTACACTAGATTGTGATATCAAACAACTTCGTCCGCAGGTAATACGTTGGTGAATTCCGTGACTGACGACCGTAATCATTAACTTTAGATGTCCGTCTGTCATTCATCAGATATATTCGTCTTGAACTTACGAAACGAATCACTATAATAATTCTCATGACACGTGCCATACTCCATTCGCTGCCACAAGAAAGCAATATCTTTCCGGATGAATAGTTTTAGGTCTTCTGTTTATGAGCTCATTAAGATTAAGGTCATTAATGACATCAATGGCAGTGCTACCCTGAAGCTGTCCCTCAATATTTACAGTGATCCAATATGTTTCAGAAATATGTTTAGTATTCCAGGGTTACTATGATCATTCCGTGTTTGGTACACTATTATCGAAGGAGATTTTTTGGTGTTTCCAAAACTTTGAGGTGAGCTAGATCTTTCTTCTAGATAAACGATAGTGATTTTGTGGTTATTCGCTGTTTTCTTCCGTGTAACATTTCTTCATTATCGGGTGCGGAGCCATCTGATAGTCAATTCTACTATGTTCCGTCTCAAGACTGCCCAGTGTTTCGCACGCAACTTTCCACCAGCTTCTTTCCCGTGTTCGGCACCACCCCTCTCCCGACACCCGCCGCCACCAGCGGATCGATCACCCCGGCTTCGGTTTCACCTTTTTCATTGGTCAGCTTTGCCATAGCTCGTATCCGCATCGATCTGCTGAAATTCAGTACTCAACCGTCAACTCTGTCCCCAAAACACCGCCAGCCAAGGATAACAGGAGAGGACTGACTTAACGTGCTGCAGTGTCTTTAGAACTTTAATAGTCGAAAGGAACCAGCTTCCATGCTATACAAGTAGCTCGAAATTTCCTTTTGTTACACTTTTTGTAAATGAAAACATCGCTCGCTTTCATATTTTAAACTTCAGTGCGGATTCCTGTTGCCTGAAATATCCTCATTATCGCGTTATTTCCACGTTCAAAACTCTGATTATGTAACTGAGTTCAATGAGTTGTGGTAAGATTCCGTGAAGACGAAAGCTCTCTAAAGATTCGATAACTACTTGCTATCTAATGGCACACGAATTCCCTGGGGGTGTTCCAATGCGTTGCACTTAGTGATTGGCCAGCGAGGTGGTGCTAGTGTGGGTGGTGGTTGAGGTGCAATGCACTGGGTGTTTCGCTGGGGGCGAACGCGACTCGTTTTACTACCAGAACTCTTTGATGTTTATTGTGCTTTGTCGCGTTATGGTCAGCATTGATTACTCCGAGGATGGCTATCAAAACATGCAAGGCTATTTCCTGCAGACTCGTTCAGCTAATTCTCTCCCTACCAAGTGTGTTCCCACGTTATGAGGAAACAAGTGACCGATTGTCGATGGTGTTCAGAGGAAGAAACATGAAACGAAGTTCTGCTGAAACCAGCTTTAGTGAACGATAATCTCGTTGAAGTGTAAATTTCGTCCTTTTTTGCTTGCTTTCTCTCATATATGCAGTTTATATTTTTCTGCCAATTACCCAATATACAATAAAATATTACATGACTCCGAATATGTGTTTTCACAGAGGCTACAGATACACGTGTGGCGCAGTGGTTGGAGGCGCCGTGCAACACACGTGGAATAGATACCTGTACCCATGGCCCAACAAGCCTTCCGTCCCTCCTAGCTGGGCAAGTTGCTACCAGACTTGTCTGGGAGGATAGCAGCATTGGCTCGACACATCAGTAGGTTACCGCGAGTCATTGTAAAGGCCAGATATGCATTCAATCACCTCCAAACGATGCTTAATGAAGTCGAATGCATGGCGCATCCCTCAAGATTGATCAACGCCGAGAGCTTTATCCTTTATCCTTTTGTAGATACACGGATACAATACCATAAATAGGTTTCAGCGTGGTTAGATTGTATGAACCACAAGAAGATGAATAACTTGTAGTTTGTTCTTTAGTGATAGTGTTCCTTATTGAGTGAGTTAGCCACGAGCAAAGAACTCCTCGCAGAATACACCTCTTTGATTCCGAAAAGCCTATCACTTAGCAAAGTTCATTGTAAATTCCCAGTTGTTTCAGTGGTTGTTCCGCTACAAAATTGATTGCCCGGGTCGTGTAACGTAGCTCCACAAAAGAAAACCGTCTTCATCCTCACGAGGACTCGTTGCTAGGTGCTACCCTCGATGCACTGGCTAACATGACGACCGTGAGTCGACGTAATCTGGGTTCGATGGCTTTCCATGACAGTAGTGTGTTTGGTATTTCGAATGCTGATAAATATCTGCCGGCTACCCATCTCTCGTTCAAACGAATTAATGGACTGCATGCTTGAAACTAACTACTCTTACAATGTCTCACATCGTAGCCGTCTATTGAGTGACCGTTAATGGAACAAAAAAACCTCAACACATTGGTTATGCGTCTTTATTTTGCTAACCACCAACCGCCTGTCGTGCATTATCCATTTGCATTGTGAACGTCGCATACCCTTCCAGCTATAGCAGTGTTTTGCAGACAATGAGCCTGAACGACTAATGGAAGAAGATCACTACGATACTCCGTGGGAGTACCTCGCTAGACCCACTTCCGTTAGGCTTTCCACCGCAGACGCTGTCTTATTCGCCAAACGGTCGACTACCGCTATCGCAAGTGCGTCAGATTCGCCTCAATGTGAGTTTGACGCTCATATGTAGTTAATTTGAAAGGAATCACTAGAATTGTACATTCTGATACATACTGAAGTGATGGACTTCATCCAGGATTTCATCTAGGATGGCTGAATGGTGATCTCCAATGTATCACTGGTTTTTCGGCTGTCATGCTTCCATTGGAAGCTTTAAAAATTCCAATTATTCTTCCAATTTTTCGGTTTTGATTCTAAACGTATTTAACACTCAAAGGCCACCGTATAAAACCCATATATGCCTTTGCTTTGATAGAACAATGTCTCTTCTATAAGCCTGTGAATTCGTTAACTCCTTAAATACTCTAACGGTCGAAGAACTATCGCCATTTGTCCAAAAACTGGCGTCGAGCGCTATATAGCAAAGCTCGCAGTCTATGTAGCTGAAGAAAGTTTTCATCAACTTGTTAGAAATTCTTGCCGCCTCGGTAACCTGTGTGTTTGAAACCATGAGTGGATATCGCTTATAGCGTGCAGATCAAGAATTTCCGGAAGATGAGAGGAGAGAAGTCCTATTGCATCTAAGTTTCCTTGACAGAAAATATGTTATCGACCTCCATTCCGTCGAGGTTGAGGTCAGTTATCAGGCTGGGTGAGGAAACTCATGACATTGCGCTCCCCTTTAAAGTTTTCAAGTTTTCTATTTGTCGAAAAATTATGGGCAGTAGTTTGCGAAAGAAACAGCTTCGGGCCCTAAGAATATGACCTTGAGGTTGTTTGAAAGTACGGTATTTTGGTGAACTTGCCATTATGAAGCGACGCTGTAAGAAGAGAGCAGATCTATAGAGCCTTTTGAGAATACCAGATTCCGGCGGAGGGTTTTTGTCTCGTGAGCATCTCCACATACCCAATGCCTCATTGACCGCATTGACAAAGAATTCGAGAAACATTTCAGCTCCTCATAGAGAACGCTATTTGCTGGCTTATACCCATCTCTAAAAGATCACTGGCCAGCGGGAGAAGGAAATACCATTATGGAATACACAAAGTAATGGGCCATGAGGATACGAAAGCATCTTGGAAACGTGCACAATCGACATTCTTAGTGGAATCAGCTACGATAACCATAAGCTTATTCGACAACGGTTACGATAAAGGCCAATGCAATTAGAGAGTATTCAATTCCTTAGTAAAATCACAAATAGTTTCATTTACGGAACCAGCTGTATAGAACAAAAACATTCTGCTTACTTGTCAGTTATCTCTTACTATAAGCTTCGATGGGTTGTGTTATCCTATATTCGATGCATGTGGTACTGATACTCATGCGTCTGTAGACCCTTCTTAAACATCTTTTTTTGTTTTTTTCTGTTAGGGCTTCTACTTTCTCGAAGAAGTCAAACTTTCTCATTGTGATTAAACTTGCTGAGCACAAACTCCTATTCCGCTTAAGTCCATTTAGAACACAGGAGCACTTCACTGGCACTTCGATGCTGGAAATCTTCCAGAATATGAAGAAAATAAGTAACAAGGGCTTACCTTCTTAAATAAGAGAATTCACAAGTTGATTTTGATCTAACTGGGTATTATATCCTTACAAGGGGAGAGGGAGAAGCTGCCTAATCGTCAGATTCTTCAGCGTAAAATTAACCATATTTCCACAAAAATCCAAATTTTACTATGTAAATAATTACTTTTCAAAGAGGAAAATCTGTCTATGGCGGATAGCATAGTGGTAATGATGTCCATCATCACGATCATGGTCCTAGTTCGATTCCGCTCCGGGCCAACCAAGCCTATCGTCCCTCTGAGGTCGGTGAAAAATTGATACGAGGCTTGTCTGGAAAAAAATCACTCTCTTCAATCCAATTGGGAACGCTCCAGCCCGGCTATCTCAGGACTCCAGGGAAAATTGTTCAACCAGCATTTTACCATTCAAAATAAAATTGAAATCCTAAAGTGGCAACCGAAGCCACACATTAAAGATCTTAGTGGACAAGATGCGAGGAAACGAATCGAATGTGAAAAGTGCTGGAATCCGCACAGTAGACACGAAGACGGATCAAACAAAGTAAAATAAAATAAAAATCTGTCTGTCTGTCTGAACGTGACAGTCACTTGGTTGACATGACATTCATCGTCTGGATGCGAATCGTTTCTTACTTGCGACTTTAGTTATAATCCATTTCGCTAATGAATCCCAAGAGAAATAACAAGATGCGAAGAGCTCCCTGTTTCATAGGTTAGAAATACCCGTCACTCACGTACACTTACATGTAGGACATAAGATCTAATACAAAGATTTCGCAATCTAAAATATCTCCTTTAGGCTCGCCTGTCCCACACTCGCCATCGTTTTCGAATCATCTGGTGCACATTGGCAACTCTCCACTAGAGTCGAAACGTCACTCTCTTAGAGCAGACCGACCAAGACGAGTTGACGCTCTGAACGAGGAAGAAACACTCCTTGAAAAGAACATCGACAGAGTAGGCGCAGAGAAATTGCTTGAGAGCCGAGGTCTAGGCGATTTTCTGCTCAGGTAGGATTCCATCGGAGTTGTTCATATTTCTTTCGCTTCCCCTTTGGTGGCTACTATAGCTCTGGTATGAAAATCTAGGCATGAATTTTGTGATTTCTCTTTCATTCTCGTCTTTCTAGTTCCTATTACACGTTGTGAACGATGGTTAGATCGAAGAAAGCTGTTCGAAGTTCAATGAAGACTGAAAATGCCATCGTTACAGGTCTCGAGGGGAAGGTAGCGCTGCGTTGTCGCTGCGAGGCGCTTCCGGTGTTCTGCATATCAAGCTCGAGCGGCGAGGCGACAAATGGGTAATCGGCGAGGGTCCGTGCTTCCGTTCTATCTCATCGGCTGTTCATTACTACCGTCGGCATCCACTACCAATCAGAGGCTCCGATCATCTTCTATTAAATGCATCCCTTACAAATACTATCCGTTTATAGTATTCGCGAACAGTACTTATCAAGTAAAATCATGCAGAGCTAGATTTTATGACATTGACTGTAAGTAGGAATTAACATAAGTATGGATCCACTTCGGCTTGAAGAACCCCACTGTTCTACTCGGTCCTGTCCTTTACACGACGTTTGTTATGTCTCTGTGCATAGTTTCCTAGCAGAAAATATGACCGTTGTGTGCCAGATTTTTCGACCGCTGTTCATCCCGCGTGGTTCATTTTCTTCTCATAAGTTCCCATTATCTGGCTAAGGAATATTTGACTCCGCTTTGTTCCAACTTTGCCTTTTTGTACATAAATTTAATGATATAGGTGATAAAATTCGTCGTATTTTTAGTAGAAAGGACAGATTTTGGGACAAAACTTGTAACTTAGTGCATAACTGGAGAAATCAGAACACATGGTAGTGTTTCTATTTTAATCCCATGAGAATTAAAACACCACGTTTGAGCATGAAATGTCAGAGCTGGGAACCTGTGAAGAAATTCCAGCATTCCCACGATGTCCGTCCTTTCCTAATCGCTGAGTTCAGACAAGAAACAAAAGCGAACAATCAATGAGCAGACCTTGTACTTCAGTCTATTTGGTTCCGGCTTAGAACAGATTAACGAGCGCGACAGAGGGCATCGCAGTAGCCGGGACGACGTCAATACGGCTGGACACCACTCAGCCCAGCGAAATCGGAAGCGACGACTTCTGATTGAGATGAAGAAATCAAAATGAGTAGTGCAGCTGGCAGGCATTTTGGAGGAGTCACTCCTGGGGCGGAAAAGAATGAAGTTGACTTCTTACAACATTTGAAACTGGGATGCACAACAAAGAAGACGCTGGTCTATTATTTGTGATAAGGTGTATGTTTTACGATTTGTCTCTGTAGCAATGAAGGTCATAGTCTTCCTCATCGTTCTACTGTTTACACCAAGTACACCAAGGTTTAGGAAGAGTTCGAAAGACTAGAAAGCAGCCTCATTACGATTGCTATTATTATTATTGCTATTATTATTGTCGTCACTATTATTACTATGTTATTAAATCTTTAGGATACTGCTGTTTATCCCCCATCATCTGAAAAGGAGTTCAAATGTCAATAGTGAAAATCGAACTATGAATTGTTCAAAGCGCCAAAAGCGGCTGGTTTAGAACCACCGGTTATTTCTCAATTAAAAGTTGAATTACCTACATGTTCCGTTTTCTACTTATTAATTCACATATATTAGCAGCCGTGGGCGCTTGTAGTGCAGTGGTTAGAGGCGCCCTGCAACACACACGTGGAATCGATCCCGGCGCCCATGGCTCTCCAAGCCTTCCATCCCTCCGGGGCTCTGCAAATTGGTACCAGACCTGTGTGGGAGGATAGCAGGATTGGCTCGATACATCCATCGATAGACTACCACTAGTCATAGTCATTGTAAAGGCCAGATATGCATTCAATCAACTCCAAACGATGTTTAATGAAGTCGAATGCATGGCGCATCCCTCTGGGTTTGATCAACGCCGAGAGCTTTATCCTTTATCCTTTTATGTTAGCTATTCAACCCTAAACTCATCATCAGCTGTGTAGATGAACCATCGGATGGAATAAAACGGTTTTTAATTTCAATATTTATCCAGTTGTTAAAGCACATGTCACCTCATCTTACGAACACCCTGGTGTTCCTGAATCGTCTACGTAACGCGCGCCGCAGCAGTGCGTACATGATGGAGTCCTTCGACACTAGCGCCGTTTGCACAAACGTATCGAATGACCCCGCTATGGAGGCCCCCACGAGTCCTTATGCAACGGGCAACAGCAATGAACGTGTGGCATCTCAATTCAGCGGCTCATAGCGCTCTTAAAGAAGTGCCTAAACTGCCCGATTCTCAGATGGTCCGGAAAATATTTGCTACAAATGGAAGGGTTGACAGTGGGACAGCCACTGGCACCAATCCTTGCCACTGCATTTATGCCTGCAATAAAAGTTCCAGTCCTCTCTATCTTCGGCCATTACTCTAATGCAAATGTATAGATGATTGTTTTATCATCTGGTCAACACGAGAGAAGATGGATAAATGGTGACATCAAACCTACCCTTTCTCTTGAACGAAGTAAGGACGGCTATAAAGGGATTCTTAAAAAGGGCTGCTCTACAGAATTCGGTAGCAGTGAATGAAACACCAACGAACATTATAATACGTCGGCTAGTTAGTAACCACTTGTATGAGCTGTGTATAACACACAATTGCACAACTTACGCTAGGCGCGGGGACGGCTATTGCACGAATTCAGGTACAGCATATCCCACCTTCTGTAAAACGTGCAGGGACGAATACATTGGCGAAATAAGTAGACCACAATGTATCCGTGTATAAATAATCTGGATGGTAAGGGTAAAATTAACAAAATACTCCACTTGGCGCCCACAGGATCCAGACGCATAACGTGAAAGATTTTGAAATAGAAGTCACCATCCTCGTACAGAAATCGAAAACACGGGAGTACAAAACTCTCGAAGCATTCTGGATAAGTTCCAATATTCCAAAAAGGAACCGCAGGGACGAATATCTCGTTATCATGCGTGATACCACACTACATCTCAGACTGATATTTTAACGTGGAAAAGGCACGTTAAACACACATATGAACTCTGTACGCTTACACCTCGCATAGAACACTCAGTGGAAGACTTGTAGGAACTGTGATTGTGGGAGGAAGGTGTTCTGTTTCCAACACGACTGAAATCTACGTATTGTCGTTTTCCTTTTGAAGTTATGGTGTGGAGGGATGCTTGGCCGAGTATGCTTTAGTTAAGTTGACTTTCCTCGTGATTGCTTATCAAGAGAACGACGAATTATTAATCAGTGTCTAGGTTAATACAAATTCGCTCTCAGGAATTATTATTATCATCCTACCACATAATTATTAAACACTAAAAGATGGCAATGTGACCACCTAAGTGATAGTTTGATAGATAGAAATTTCCCACCAATACACATGAGGTTTCTTTCAGGACGACATAATTATCCACTACAACTGAGCGGAGAACGGCTTATGCCACAAGGTAACATGTCCTGTAGGATCCCATTCCAATGATGATGGTAAATAGTCGATGGAGAATGGGTAGCTTCTTGATATATTGGCTAGAGCAGCTCACGGAAACCTCACTTCTTGATGGACGAGTGGTCCACTCAGCACTATTTCGGGCGAAATTCAGCCTTACTCAAATAGTTGAGCTTTAAACAAAGTTTCGACATGCGCAACAGGATAATCCTCATAAAAGTGATATAATGACCACTCAATGTGTTAATTAGCGGTTGTGAAGACCGTTTTACGCTAATGGCAAACAGTTCCATTGCTTTGTTTCGTCTCTCTCGAAGATGTCTTGTTTTATTTGTTGCAATGAGTACATGTAGTTCTCGGCTTTGACATTGGAGGTCGGCTGTGAGGTTAATTGGTTCAGGTAATGTTTTCTATGTTATGGATTGCTCCCCACGGATCTCCCTCATATGAGAGATCTCGAGCCAGTTAGTCGTGAGGCTACGTGGCGGGTCCCCACGTAGCGGATGGGGTTAATCGTGGACCAAAAGCGATCTTTGCTTCCCTGAGACGCAGGTAGATCCAGGGGATGGACTCCCTGTTTCTGCTGCGCTGATTTGGCACATACTTTCTGTATTTGCTAGGCGTATTCATGCATGCGTGTGTGGGTGCGTTCTTGCTTATGCGGATTATATTCTACGATCAGTTCGGCCAAAAACCTGCAATCAACTGACTGGGAAGTATATGGGAGGCGGTTAGGAGTCGCCTCCAACAAATAAGCACCATGTCCACTCTGGGAGAGCCTGGGAAGCTACCCGTGAGTATACGCAGCCCCCACGTTCACAGCCCAGCGAGCTATACATGGGTATTAAAAATGCTAAACACAGTTTAAAAAAAAAACGGGCCTCATTCCCCTGACCCAATTTCGCACCGTTGGTAGGACGAGTACGGGGAGGCTGCTAAAATCTCAGGGCAAATGGAGCCTGCCTAGATTTCAAAGAACAATCCTGACGATCTCTACCTCCAGTGCACGTACACTTGCATCCGAGTCCTCGATAGACTTGCTCATGCAAGCAAGAACGATTAGGTACGACGTCATCGGCCTGGCCGAGACGAGACGACGCCACCCATTCAACGCTGTCTATGACACCGAAGAACTGTTCTTCGGAACATGCGACAGTAAAGGACGGCTTTTGGTCAACATGAGTTTATCCGTGAATATCGTTTCATTCGAACAGCTTACAACCCGAATCGGACGTTTACGATTAAAAAGATGTGGATCAATTCCGGCTTTGACAATCTTCGTCGTTTACGCCCCGACCTTAAACTACGACGAAGAAGAAGTCGAAGCGTTCTATATGGACTTGGAGAAGTTCTACAGATAAGACCACACATTCTTCAAGGTCATCACTGGAGATTTCAACGCCAAGATTGGACCAAGAAGAACATCTGAAGAACGTCACATTGGGACCCAATTAGAACGGAACGAACAGAATGAGAGGATGTCTGAGTTTATCATAGTGACAAAGACAATCCATGGTAACTCGCAATTCCAGAAACCCCACCCTCAGCGCGAGACGTGGGAGTCTTCCAATGGAGAGTACCATAGCGAAATAGACCACATCATAGTAAATAAACGGTTTTGCCTAACCTATGTCGCTGTTGTCCCAAAATTCTAAACGGGATTAGACTATCGTCTCCTTCGCGCTAGATTCTATTTCGCGCGGAAAGGAGAGAAAGCTGCTAAATTCCAAAACAGAAATCCCAGAACCACCGTAAACTGGGATTTATTCAATTCATTAGTCGGCTGTTGGTAAGATGCTGTTGCTGATAACATCGACGAAGAATACGATCGTTCCATTCAACATCTTCACGTTAGCGCTATGAAAGCTGAGAGTTCGAAAGTCACCAAGAGACGCTTGTCTCCAGAAACACTCGAGCTGCCACGCTAGCGTGGAATCGCGCGGGCTGCA